TTATGACTTATTAAAAAAGAAGAGGGAATCACCTTATACTAAAAAACAACAATTACTCACTCCGACCACCAATTTCAGCAAAACATTTTCCAATTAAATAATTGTTTAATTCAATATTTTGAGTAGAAAAGCAACAACAAAAACAATTACTGATATCAAAACGAGGATCCAGATACATCCAGATGGAAAGTCCCGGCGAGGACGAAATGTTCCTAACAATACCCGAAGGTTTTATCCAATCGAAAATTTATTGTTCACATCAGTAAGAAATTATAAATATGGAAAGAAATGTTATTTAGTTTATTTAATACTACTGAATCTTCCAATCATAGGTAAACAGTTTTAACTTAGCTGTCTTTCAGTTTTACACATAGAAAATGAAATCGAATAGGATTGGTACCTTCATGTCTGTCAATTATTTCGAATGCGTTGCTTACATTCACTCTACGTATACTATCCAGAGGGTGTCTGACATTTGGACTTGTGAAGAACTTACTATGTTTCAAACATCAGTTCCTAAGGACGTGTTCAGAAAACCTAGTAGAGGCCTTCCTCTTTGTCCTTCCTATATATTTGCTACCATAGGTATATGTGAGTTCATAGATGCACTTGAATGTAACTTGGGAAGCGTATCGGTTCATCCTTAAATGCTATAATGAACACTTGTTGTTGTATATTGAAACCAATTGACCATCAAGGAAGCTTCTTTTCAGTGCCATCTCGATTCTCTCATAGATTCTTCTTGAAAACAGGTTTCTCTTACCAACAATTGGTTGTTTATCATCCTTAGAATGTTCTTTTCCATAATTCACAATAAATTTCTGTAGATATCCAATTTTTATGAAGTCTTTTTCTAGTATAGTCAGTTCCTCATTTATTGTATTGTTTGAGCATAACCTTCTAGTTCTTTTGGAGTGCGTTTGATTGGACACCTTTTGTAACTGATAAAGGAAAAGTTGTTATTGTTTAAATACTATCCCATTCATGTTTCTTTTCACAATCTTTCCATCGTTTTTTTAACATTTTACACAAAAATCTTAAGTTACTAATATGATTTTATTGACTTTCTTTTTAATAAAATTTTTCACGAATCAATTCCCAATTGTAAGACACTATAACTATGATAATATTTCCCAATATTTATGACATAAAAATATAACGAATATTTACATAAAAATGACACATCACTACAAAATTGGATAAGACAGGAGGGAAGAAATCAGGCCAAGGCGGGTGGGGGGAGTGGATAGGTATAATAGAATATAAATGAGGTTTTTAGCAGGAGACATTTAAATCTTATTGGTATACATGAATAAAATCTTTAAAGTTATTACTAAGTAACACGAAAGAAATTCCTTTCCAAATTGAATAATCAATTGTACAAACAAACAAATCGAGTAACAATGGGATTACCATTAGGATCTATCTTGGTCGATATCTTCAAAGTTAATTTACAAGGAAAAAACGAAACTAAAACACGAAATCCATGACACAATATAATACTCCAGATATTTCGATGATACATTCATTATCTGTGACGATATGGATCACGCTTCTAGGTTGCTTATTCACTTCAACAAGTCTCATCCAAAAAAAAAATAATAATAAACGTATACTTTTATCGTATAATTGTCAAATAACTAAACTATTCATATTCATATTCCTCTTATTATGAGCTTCATTTTGACCTATGAACCATTATTATACGTTCTGCCATTCTTCAATTGTGTCTGTCTATTAGACACCGCCTCCCACATTCACAGCCACATTTGGCCAAATATTGTACAAATGCTGTTTTCTATTTTGTGGTACGTTGTGGTCTGTTTGATTGGTATATAAACTCAGTATCTTTGATATATAATGATTCATACCTCAGAGGCTTGGATTGGTGTTCTGGACTTAACTGGTTGGGCTAGACAGGAAGAGGGACTAATTAAGACTACACTGCTCATACGGGTTTACGCGTCATTGATCCGATCGATAAGTCACGACTCTCTAACCGCGGTCATAAGTTATATCAACTTCATGTAGAAGTTTATTGTGAATTATGGAAAAGAACATTCTAAGGATGATAAACAACCAATTGTTGGTAAGAGAAACCTGTTTTCAAGAAGAATCTATGAGAGAATCGAGATGGCACTGAAAAGAAGCTTCCTTGATGGTCAATTGGTTTCAATATACAACAACAAGTGTTCATTATAGCATTTAAGGATGAACCGATACGCTTCCCAAGTTACATTCAAGTGCATCTATGAACTCACATATACCTATGGTAGCAAATATATATTTTTTCTGGTTAGCGTTTTTTTAGCCAGTTAGTTTTCTACGGTATGGGGACGCTAAAAGCATGCCCAACCCTCCTCCTTTACCCGGGCTTTGGACCGGCAGTAACTCTAGGAGAGCTACAGGCGAAGAAATGCGGATAAAGACAGTCAGTGTAGCAGCAGTCTCTACATCAGTAGGCCTCAACATACACAAGGCGAACAGCAATCCAATCACTCTTGATAGCGAAACTCTGGAAAATGAGGAATCTTTCACATACCTAGGAAGCATCATCGATTAACAAGGAGGTTCAGATACAGACGTAAAGGCGAGGATTGGCAAAGCAAGGACAGCATTCCTTCAATTGGAGAACATATGGAACTCAAAACAACTTTCAACCAATATCAAAGTCACAATCTTCAATATCAACGTCAAGGTAATTCTACTGTACGGAACTGAAACTTGGAGAACTACAACAACCATCATCAAGAAGGTACAAGTATTTATATATAGTTGTCTACGCAAGATACTCAACATCCATTGGCTGGATACCATCAGCAACAGCTTTCTGTGGGAGAGAACAAACCACTTTCCAGCTGAAGAGGAAATTAGGAAAAGACGATGGAAATGAATAATACATACATTACACAAATCATCAAACTGCATCACGAGGCAAGCGCTAACTTGGAATCCTGAAGGGAAGCGGAAAATGGGAAGGCCGAATAACACATTATGTCAGAAATAGAATTAGATATGAAAAGGATGAATAAGAACTGGAAATAACTGGAAAGGACTGTTCGGGACAGGGTTGGATGGAGAATGCTGATGAGCGGCCTATGCTCCTTCACGAGGAGTAACAGGCGTAAGTAAGTAAGCAAATATATAAGAAGGACAAAGAGGAAGGCCTCTACTAGGTTTTCTGAACACGTCCTTAGGAACTGATGTTTGAAACATAGTAAGTTCTTCACAAGTCCAAATGTCAGACACCCTCTGGATAGTATACGTAGAGTGAATGTAAGCAACGCATTCGAAATAATTGACAGACATGAAGGTACCAATCCTATTCGATTTCATTTTCTATGTGTAAAACTGAAAGACAGCTAAGTTAAAACTGTTTACCTATGATTGGAAGATTCCATAGTATTAAATAAACTAAATAACATTTCTTTCCATATTTATAATTTCTTACTGATGTGAACAATTCATTCTCGATGGGACAAAGCTTAGAAATAATCAGTTCATTCAATAACAATGTATGATCATGAAACGAAAAAGAAAGGAAATTGTCATAATGCTTTGAAATACAATCAGGTCATTGATACAACACAGATCTTTCAGTGCTATTGGACACGATCTATTTAGTCAGTCAGCTACAACGTAGCACCAGGCACATATAAAACGATCTTGTTATTCACAAAGTGATTTATTTTGAGATTGAAATTTCCGACCAACATTCTTGTCGGAATCTTCTGCAGTCAGTCGTTTGCTATAAAGTTCCAAAACCATTTTTTGTATTATGAAGAGAAGAATAACCATTTTCAGGACTTTAAAGTTGACAATTCAAATGAGGACGATGTTATAACTTTCAATCGTATGCGAACACACTCAGTGATAGTGTTGCGAATCAAGATCCTGAATTACTGAACCAAATTTTCATCATATTAATTGATGGTGTGGAGATATGCCTGACAAGCTTATTTTGTAAATAGTTTTTAATGTTGTTTGTATTTATTTTGTCAATTTTTCACTGCATGTACATTTATCATTAAATGATTGTACCTGTTGTTTAAGTGTATGACCTTGAACACATCTTCCGTTGTGTTACACACATAGCATGACACATTGTTAGCTGCTAACAAATACATCGTTGCGCACATACTTCTCGTTCTACATTCGCTTGTGGTTGAGCTAACCGAAGTCTAAATCAGATACTATTTATCTTTATAGACTGTAATTGGAATATACCCATATCCCATATTGGATCATATCACTGGGAAATTCATCAAATTCAATGGAATTATCAACCGTGTATAATTGTGGATATTTGGTACCAGATCGAATCAGAACACGCACTAACCTGGTAAACTAAGTAAAGTCCCTCATTTCTATTGTGTAAATAACATTTAACTTATATACATAAATATTATTATTTGTCCTTAATAACTCTGTTATTACCTTTTTGAGTTAGCATACTGTCTGGTTCAGCACAATGGGTATCATATTTTTCCTTGGCAAATAAATTTTAGGAAAAACAGAAAACCGTACTTAATCATACTTATCATCACTACATAATATGTAAGTCATGAATCGAAATAAGATTGAAACATGATGCTGGTAACATAACCTGGCACTTATTAGAACGAATACAGTAAACCAGTTCAGTTGATTTTGACCTATTACTAAGATGTTTGACCTTTTTAAAGTTCGAAATGTATCCATCCTCAGTTCATGAGGTCACTGGGTAACACATCGGGCAGTTACAAATAACATGCAACCTGATACAAATGAAAATCCATCTAATTTTTTTTTATTAGTACACTGAGAGAAAACCAATAATATTCACAGCTCAGAAAGCAAGTATTCCCAGGTCTTTTGAGCTAAAAAGACATGATAATTTATTTGTTTATCTAATTTTATTGTGTTCCCCACATATACGCAAATAATGAATAACAATTATGAAGCATAATTTGCAAATAAATATGAGGATATAACAATAATACTAACAGTAAATTACTTACAATTTTTATTACATTAGCATCAATACACACACCAAGAAGCTGAACAATATCTGGATGATCTAGTCTATGCATAATTGATATTTCATTCAAAAAATCACATGTTTCCTCTTCATTCATTTGTTTAATATCCATAATTTTGATAGCAACTTGTAAACCACGTCTTGTATCTGCATGCCAAACACCCTATGGATAAATCCATTATATATAAAAAAGATATTATGAAATATAATACAATAAAAAAAGATATGCTTTAAAAGAGGATATTGTGACCAGTTATCAAGTATAGCCTACTAATGTTATCGTGATTATAATTAGGTGAATCCATGCATGTTTATCAGTCGAGATCCGAATCGCTCACCAGTAACAAGGGTTTGAATCCTTCAGGAAACGTCGACTCCTTCAAGATTTCAATTACCCCCGGCAAACAAGTGCTAAGTTGTGTGACACTTGCGTTAAGCAAACTTTCCTAACGATTACGATGACAATTAATAAACAGAGAAATAAATTAAAACAACTTGAGTACCGAAACTAACAGATCACAGTCTAGGTTATCATACCGTCACAATCATGATGATATCAACAACGACAAAAAAACGAAAACCGAAATGGGTGATATGAAAAAAGTAGATAGAATGCATGAAGATAGAAAAGGAAGACGGATAAAATAATACGATGTTTAAAATTGAAAGAAATTGAAAGGGAAAAACTCATGTGTTATTGTGACTGATTTTTGAGCTATTCTCCTCTAAAATCATTAACAATTGATTATGATTACGTGTACAAGACAATGCAGATCAAATTTAAGGTACACTTATATCAACATAACACAGCAAAGAAAGATAGATATCCAAGACAGGACAGGAACAAAAATATGCATCAACCAACTCAGTCGATGAGATGGTACGAAGTTTATCTAGTATATTATGTTGAACTTTAATATTCACTATTTGACAAACTTGCTATGATCTAGTCCCAATGACATTTGGATAAACAAAATTGAATCATAGTGTTTTTATATGACTAGCAGCAACATTCAAGACTCATAGTTCATCCTATCAAGTACTCGTCACCTGGATGTACTTTGGTCCCAGTATTGTTACTCATACTAAAACACAAGCCTAATATCATTCGCCTCAAACACCAAACTCTTATCTACTGAGTCAAAATAGCATATATGAGAACAAAGACCCTGAGATCAAAACCAAAGTCTTTCATTTTTTTCAAAAGTTTATATCAATTAGAGAACCAGTTAGAAATTAATCGACACTAGGTAGTTGTTATTGTACCCTACTTCTCAGCACAGTATTCACGACTGATAATCTAACAATTAGTTACAGTTTTAGACAATAATGATTAAATTGATATTTCATTGAATGTTACTTTATGATGAAAACTTCCCTCTTCCTCAAATATTGTTCTTTATTCACCTTGTACATTATTTTCATCATAAATAAATATCAGTTAAAGAATAATAATCAGAGAGGGGTTTTATGGGTATTATAGTAATTTAATAGTTGAATTCATGAATCAATTTCGTGGATTGATTGAAGTTAGACATTAACACCGTTGGGTTCCGGTTAGCTCAGTGGTCTAGAGATTAAACGTTTGCGCGTTAGACTGATAGGTTCTGAATTCGAATCTCGCGAGGCGGGATCATGAATGTACACTGCCGAGGAGTCCCACAGTAGGACGAAGTGGCCGTCCAATACTTCCAAGTTTTCAATGATGGTTTAACATTAATCGATTAATGATCTCAATCAGAAAACTTAACAATCTCCACAACCCTATACTGATAAATTGATATCTAATTGAATGTTACTTTATAATGAAAACTTTCCTCTTCCTTAAATAAAATTAAAATAATAAAACCTGGCCTACCTCCCAGACCAATTCTCGATATGTCAGGATCCCCTTACCACAATAATAAAATAGACAATGCAATTTATTTGTCTATCTGATTAGTCAATAATTAATTTGATTATTATTAATGAATAATAATAATTACATATTGATTGAATTAACTAACCCATAAATCAATAAAACAATAATCGAAAAAATAATATGAATGATGAACACAAAATATGAGTTTCGAAGAGACATTTTTTCAAAAAAAACAAAAAAAAAATTTAAAAATGTCGATATGTAAGAAAGTGAAACATTTCCCGATTTTTTTAATCAATAAAAAAATATATAAACAATTATGATTATTATTATTTCTTATCCAGAAAAAAACGAACATCGGAATACTAAAACTAATAGATTCATACCCCAAAAACAAATGTACAAAACATAAATTATGTACATTCAGTTGGTGTTGTTTTAATTATCTTCCTATTGTTGTTTTATTTAGGACTACAATTCATCCGTCTCTTATTGGCATATGTGCATTCTGTGCGAATTGCTTCGATATAGCCTTAAGTCACAAGCTTTTTAAACAAATATGGATAGTGGATAGCAGTAGAATACAGGATGCGCGTTTTGTCCCATTTCGGACTCTTCAGATGGATGTACCTGAATCTCAGAGTTGATGTTCACTCTGGGACTGGAATCCAGTAACGTTCACTTTAAACGCCATCACGCTATTCACTTAGCTACTGAGTCCTGATAGCCAATTGCTTCTGCAATGGGGTGAAGTTTAAATTCAATTGGTGTTGTTTTAACTGTATCTTACCATTGTTATTTAGGATTAGAATTGATCAGTCTCTTGATGGCATATGTGAGTCTTGTATACATGTACGGACATATAGGTGTATAAGATTGTAACTTCATGCTTTATCGATGGCTTTGAAAAGGCAGAGAAAAGTAAGTAAGTAAATTTAGACAAATAAAAGTCTGAAATAGATATTTTATTAGTTAGAAAAGTTGGAAAATTTTCTTTACAGTTTCTGAACTTTATACTTATTCATGTACATACTACAATGTGTATTATGCTAAATTATTTGATAGATAGATAAATGAATGAATAATACCATATGATTGATTTCTAAAAAATCGTGAATATGATTTGAATTTATGATTGATATTGGGTAGAATTGAAAGATTATTGATTGATTAGTGACTTTTATCTTCATCTTTTATAAAAAAAATTTAATATCCGAATAGTAACTAATATTCCCTTGATTAAATATTATATTACTATGATAACTACAATCCCCTAATGTTTTCGGTTAGTTAGTTAGCTAGTGGTTTCATTTTGTGAGGCTTATCCTCATAGAATTTGAGAATTGGTTTCGTTAGGAAAAAAATCAAGTTTATCATATGAATCTTTTTAGTGTATTTTATCAACAGAATGATGCTATCAGAGTAGTAAGTAGCTGACTAAGCTGAATGCTTGAAATATCGGTTAATTGTAAGAAATTAACATATTGGTGTAGGTACTATTAGAGAGAACAAACCACTTTCCAGCTGAAGAGGAAATTAGGAAAAGACGATGGAAATGAATAATACATACATTACACAAATCATCAAACTGCATCACGAGGCAAGCGCTAACTTGGAATCCTGAAGGGAAGCGGAAAATGGGAAGGCCAAATAACACATTACGTCGGGAAATAGAATTAGATATGAAAAGGATGAATAAGAACTGGAAATAACTGGAAAGGATTGCCCAGGACAGGGTTGGATGGAGAATGCTGGTGAGCGGCCTATGCTCCTTCACGGGAAGTAAGCATTATTAGATAGGAAGTGAAGGTGAAAAAATGAATCTAGATAAGCATGAAATGAATGAAATTTAAGAAATGAATAAAATAAAGGAACGAAAATTCTGGGATTACGCTAAATTTAAAACACAGATAAAGTTAAAGAATGTATACGGTTGTGATGTTTTCTGAGAGCCATGTTACTTAGCATTTCAAACTATAGATTATGACTATTTTGTGGATCCAAACCAGAAAATCTGCACTATTTGTCAGGCTTCACACCAACAGTCAATAGATTTATGAACTTATACTGCACCTTTGTTTACCCATAGCCTTCTTTAGATCTACTACCTACTCTAGCCAGAACTGCACGCGCACATGGGGATATGTAGCACCTCGCTATGACATTAGCTACTTGAGGTTTACAACCTGATCAACTAAATTATTATTTCTATTTACATTCATAAATATTAATTGACACGTATTTGTTTCACTATATGAGAGTAGTGTTTACAAAATACCTATGATGTTATGTGGAACATATACAGCCCTATTTTTTAGTTACAAAGTAACACACAGCAGCCTGTTGAGTAGTATGCTTACTGCTTAATCGGGAGATGGACACTTACCGTGGGCCTTAAGTGATGCAAATCGACAAAAGTCAACTAAGTTTCCTGAATGGACCGATATTTTCTCAGGCATCAATCCATCAAAGCTTATGAAATTTCCAAGTCAAGTTGTTAACACACTTAACTGCTTCATTATCAATAGTTAGATCAAGCACTAACGTAGATCAGTCCTCAAGAAATATATTACATTTAATGTTAGGAAAATGCAAACCAAACTCTCTGTAATTGTCACTTAAATCAAGCACGTTTATACATGTCTCATTTATGGGATAAAAGTTTTATGGATAAATATCAAAAACAAGTAAATACGAAACAATTCAGACAAACATTGTATCAACATTACGTTTTCATAAAAAATGAATATGGCATTCTGTACTCATGTTAATAATCATTTGACGGTTAACCTGTGAAAATGAGCTTATTAATACAAGAATTCAGTCAGTAACAACGTAGAACTTCGCACGTACGTACATCAGTTCGAGTTGCCATACCACATTAGCACAGAGACTCAGTTGTCGATTCGAATCCCGTAGTGGTAGAGGTAATGAAAGTATAAGCAGCAATTGGATAGATTAGGGTTTGAAGATGTTATTCAAGGAGTATAATCCAGAAAAATAAATTTGGAAAGAGAAAAAGAGGGAAATTAAGAATTCGGGAGAGCACAAAGAGTGAATGCCCCTGAGTCATTGCAAACGATTTTGAGCCATGTCATACAACAATTAGACCCTAACTACTGTAGTATAGCATAGTATAATATTCGTTTATTAAATATATACGACGTGAAATAATCTAATTCATTGAAAAACATTCTAGTCTAGATAAAGATACATGTTCTCTCTGTTAAGCGTAATCTTTACTAAATAACTACAATCTTTCTGTAAGTAGGCTGTTTGTGCGAATGAAGATCTCTAAGAGAAAGTTAAATTGTACAAAGATGTGGATAATCATTTGTAATGAATATCAATCGAAATAAGATACCTGTCTTAAGAATTTTCCTCAATACTTCTTTCTAATTTAAATTAAGGACACGTATTTCAAAAACCAATCTAAGCAAAACATCTATTAAATGACAATAAAGATGACTATTTATGCTTCACTTGATGGGACAAAAATTAACTAAAACACACACAAAAAAAATATTTTTGTATTACAATAAAGTAGATAATTAAATTTTTCTCGCAATGTTTATATTACCTGAAAAACTTTTCCAAATTCTCCTTCCCCAAGACTACTTCCAATCTCAAGTTCATTCGATTGAATAACCCGATAATTTGTATTTCCATTAATGGTTAAATTATTCAAATCGTCTGTTAAATACTTATTACTATTATTACTACCATCATGACATTTAGAATTTTGTGTAAGTAATAGTGTACGTCGTTTTGTATCACTATCTTCAGATGTTGGTGTACTATCTAATGAAATAGATAGTACGTTGAGATTACGAGATGATAATCCATCTAATGTATCTTTGAGCCGTGGTGATGAACATCGACCACTGGTGGATCGAGCTAAGCGCTAAACGAGAAAAAAAAGGAAGAAAAAAGCTATTTTTCTGGAGAAGTAATAATTAAACTTTGGTAGTAATTAGGAATTCTTGGATTTTATTGCCTTAATCAACTGTAGTTTAAAGTACTTTATGAGGTCCATAGATAGGGTGATCACTACGAATTTTGTTTCGTTGACATTATGATACAATCCATCAAGCTTTAAACAACTAGAGGTAACTGGTAGAAAGTTCTTCATTTAAATTCAAAGGATTAAACATTTCAACTAATACTCATTTATAAGATTAGATACAATAAAACATTTCAGAGGGGATAATCACACAGCAAATAAGGGTGAGGATATGTATATGTAATTGTCAGCAAAGTACCGTTTAGTAAGAAATACTGAATAAGAAAACACAATACAAAAAAGTATGTGTTGACGTTCATTTATTTCTAACTATAATCCCTTAAGTTAAACTAACCTTTCTTAGCTTTCCTATAGCAGTTTGCGGACATTCTCGTTTGAAATGTTTCCGTAAACGTCGTTGTTCAGGTCGACTGAAACCTAGTTCTGCAAGATCAGAATCTTCAACATATTTGATTTGTTGAACTGAACGAATCTGTAAAAATAGTAAAAATAGTGAACTATGAAGAATATCATTCTGATAAATAGGATATTGATTAAAATGACACTATAGATTTGATTTAAATAGTAAACTAAGGATATACAAACATTTGTTTTACCTCTGTATAGGTAGCGAGGTGACGTTTTCAGCCTCTAGGAGAGTCGATTTTCCGCTTGCAAATATAAGATTAGGTTTTTTAAATGAGGTGCATTTGTTCACCCAAATCAATGACTATGTTAACGTTCTTGTACTGGTCTAGGTTATAACTATTTGATGAAGACTAGAAATACTGCTCAAAAGCATATAAAATGAAATTGGAATTCGTGTCCTAGTAACCGAAAAGCGGCTGATTAAACTACTGAGTTACATCCCCACTATCCATTCATTAATTTAAGTATGGGATACATTGCAGACTGAATTTAGTTAATTAATCTTAGTGTTTTAAAAAAGAAACTAATAGAATATTTTGAACGAATGACCTTTTAGCTGTTTGACAGGATTTCTGATTGGACATAATCTATCCTCTAGTCCATAAATTTAGTAAATTGTTTTAAGCTAGAATTCTAGCTGAAAAACTGTAGTGTTTGTATGGATTAATGATTCCTTTGTACTTGATGAATGCCTAATTTCGAATTCTAAATACAATTATTTACTTATTTTCACACATAGATATTGGTGCAAGGAGGCACCAAATACATATGCGCCATACAAATCTCATTTGATATGTGTGAGGGATGTGATACTGTCCGGATGCCCAAACCGAAGCAGGTGGTTTTCTTAGGGGATCACACTCGGAGCCTTCAACCTGGAGGTCTGATCCACAAGGCGGTGGAGCATCGTGAGGAGATTCAGTCCCATGGTAGCCGGTGACCAACGATTGGTTCATACGCCATTTGTTCCCGCAGGATACTGGAGCCCATGTGCACCATTGATTTAGGATCCGGTTAAAGCGCCGGACATTCGCTTTTCGTCCTCTCATTTTCGTAAACAACACCCCCGTCACGAGAAGACTGTGAGTAGGACTTCCCTGGCAGAGGCTATATACGCGTGACCATATGAGAGCATTTCGAGAGGGAGAGCGGACTCTCCCTACTCTCAGCCGTACCAGGGCATTTTGTTTGTTCGTACTCTTCTAGTTCTACTTAGTTAAATTGTGTTATTTCTAGGATTCCTAATTCTTTCAATAACTCAAATACTTCTAATTATCACAAAAACATTTCAAGTTAAAATCATTAGAAGGTTATAAATATTCACTAGAAATCAAGTTGCTTCGATTATTGTAAGGTTGTTTTTCTCAATATAAACCATCTTTCTTAGCTCCCTTTATAATTTCTCTGACACTAAGTTTGTTTTGAACAAGTTAACAACTACCTTAATATTTGTAATAGTTTTTTCTTTTATCCTCTCTGGTCAACATGTTAGAATAGTAGTGAAAAAGTAAAGAAAAGCAGAAAGATGTAGACTACTGTAAATTTTTGAACACCTGGTTTTTGTATTTTGTGTTGAATCAAAGTTTAATTATAACTTTAAATATAAAAGAGGATTTAATTATTTTTTATATGGGTATCGATGAACTTGGATATGATCGAGTGTGCAGGATCGAAGTGGTATATATCTGAAAATGCTACTTTTACCGTTTTAAAGGAAGTTGACTAACCTTTAAATGACAAGTAAGTACGGAGTAATAGTGGTCTAGTTCTGCATCTTTTAAGAACTCATAAAGATCCTTTTCTGAAGGCTGTTGCTTATCTTGATTAGAAAGATTTAAGAATGATGGAGGCGGACTTTTTAGCACAGCACATCCTAAAGGCATGACAGGAAACTGTCTTTGTTCCCAGACCTCTCCTATTGTACCTTCTGTCGCAGTTGTTGCTAAACTTAGTGAATCAGACAATGTATCTGCACTTGGAGCTGACAGTTTTGAATGACTGCAGCCAATTCTAGAACGATCACCTCGAAGGCGCTGAGATGTTGATCGTGAACGTAGACTTCCGTTTTCACTGACTATAGGGATGTTAGTAGTCGGTGCCAAAGAGGCAGTCAGCATGCCCAATGAAGTTGAATGATAAATTTATTACACTACCGAAACCTAATTCAAAAAAGGAGAAAAGGTACAATCAAAGTGCTTTCACAGAACTACGGAAACCCAGAATTATAAAAACAGAAAACTGAAATAATTTAAAAGAAAGAAAATCTAATTTGGACTTCAGCACCTCATGACTTTATGTTTACGTTGTCCATTGTGTTTATCAATTGCTCCCAAATGTCCTGCTGAGGCAAAGAATGGGTAGAGTCAGTTCTCCCTCTCCAAATGCTCTCACATCGCTGCAAACATACAGCCACTGTCAGGAAAGTCTTACTCACTATCTTCTTGAGGCATTACTGCTGTTTACGAAATTCAGAGGACAAAAAGCGAATATCCAGTGCTTTAATTAGTTTGGTAGATATGGAGGATCCATCTACGGGAGTTAGAAAACCCTGATACTGAGCGAACAAATGACGTATGAACCAATTACTAGTTACTGTCTACCATCGGACTGCATCTCCTGACGTTGCTCCATTGCCTTGTGGATTAGACCTTTAGGTTGAAGGCTCTGGGTGTGGCCTCCTAAGAAAACCACCTGCTTCAGTTTGGGCGCCCGGGCAGTATCAGAGCACTCACACCAACCTAGTGATTTATGTGGTACATCTATTTGGTGCCTCACTATACCACTGCGTTTAAATAAGATTTAAATAAACAAATACTAACTCAATGTAGAGACCAGCAAAAAGATTTGTATAATTTCCTATTCCCCAAACATGTATCAAGACGACTAACGAGAACAAAACCAATGAAACAGAAAGAAGAGGTAAACCAGACATAAAAAACAAGTAAAAATGAGAAGCGAAGATAATGATATGATACTACATAGTTTATAAGATATCTTGTAAACTTAGAGGAAAATAAAGCCACTGCAACCGATTTGTAACAATGTCATCAAACCAATGATAGGTAACATAGTGTACTCTAACAGATTATGGTTCAATATGAGTAACGGACTTCTGAACTACCTCAATTGATAAAGGTATAAAGTCCAGATAACACTTACGAAAATTACCGAGTACTCTGTGTTGATTTAGTAACAATTATTCCAATGACACGTGTTAAAGTTGTACAACAATGTGGTAACAGAATTTTTCGTTTTTAACAATCAGAACGACTAAATACGTTTTCCTTGTTGTAAAACGCAAAGCGATATTGCCACCACTCATCATCTTATATAGCAACGCGTGTGCTATCACACTTCTAAATTTCGACCCGTCTAAAACCAATCGTCCCAATGAAAATTAGAACACGTTCAAAATTAATGATCGAGTGAACACAAGTTGAGACCACTCTTTACCGGATACCCCACAGAATGGTCAACGATTGATATGTCAAACCAGAACAAATAAAGTAAACTAAGAAAGTGAAACTTCCGAAATTAGAGACTTGAACATCAAGGAGGTACCCACAACAAGGATCAATGGAGCGACGGACCAATAGCTCTTATTCGAATTACAAATCAAACAAAATCCTGACTACAGTTGGTAATAAATAATCAAAGTCAATCAAATCAATCAAAAACTCCTTCAAATATACATGGATGCGACAAAAAGTTTTGTTCTGTTTTACCTTAACGTTTCTATTCCGGACACAAGGGTAATCAACCGTCATTGACATATAACGAAAATACGAAGTCAGTCAGAAATAAATGCAAACACAGCGCGCAGCGCAGACCTTTGAGTGTAAACATCAATTCTAGAAGTTTAAAGATGTAAATGGTTCAATTGATTGTGTACGGAATAGAAGCTTTCGTTGAACCATACCTGGACCAGAAAAAGTGTCATTTTTAGGAGCTGCAGTTTCTGGCACACCAAGTCAGCGTTCAGGTTCACTTCGGAAAGTTCTATGCAGCTGCAGACAAAGTTTTCAGCAACGTAGTTACTGTCTCTCGGTTGAAATATCCGACAGTACTGTTCAACCAGAAGGTTAGCAGCGTCACCATCGTTATTGGTCGGACTATTCAGACTTAGCATTTGGGAAACTATAGTGTTGGCTTGCCAAAGATAGGCTACATAGTGGAATTAGCTTTTCCGATTAGAGATTCAGCAACGAATTTGTGTGGTAAGGACAGAAGGCATGCGGCCTATGTTATTCCTTTTCTAGTATGTTTCTCTGAGTGTCTAGTCTTATCATGAATGAGTCAATTGGAGGTGCATACACCACTGCTTCGGGTAACAGGTTCCAAATATCGATGACTGTGTGAAAACCTGCAAGTCACGGGTATTTCTACTTGCCTTCTATGTCCTCTGAGATGTCCCGATCTAGTGGGAAAAAAGAGAGAGCATATGAGGTCCAAAAGCATTTCTTAGTATCCTACACATCAAAATCAGATCACTTCCTAATCTGTGATAGAACATAGTAAAGAAATCTAGTTTTCCAAGTCGCTCTTAGCACAGTAAACCCCGGAGTTCTGGAATTGCACGGGTAGCTGTCTTCTGTACGTCTCCCAGGATATCCGAGTCAGCAAATTAACCAGGGGCTTACAGCCTGACAGCAGTTCTCCCGCTCAGTTCTCACTAAGGTTGTGTATGCCATGGTGAACATGATAGTATTTAACTCGATGAGTGTCCGCCTTTAAACCTATAGGGTTTTAAACCCCTTAACTGAAGCCTCCCGGCTGTGCGCCATGGTCTTAAGATCATGATTCGTTGTCACCTCAAGATCCTTTGTCAAACCTGACCACGAGTACAGACAATTCCCCTATGCTATACTTATTTACCTTTGTATCCCCGAAATTCATGTAAACACACTTTGCCACGTTGATTGGCATCAGCCACTCTTCAGACCAGCCGATAACAATATTTAAGTCTGCCTGAAGTGTACATTCATCTGCGTCTCATGTTATATCTCGCCAGACTTTTAAATCGTTAGTATATAGTAACATTGAGGACTCAACTATACTTGGGAGATCATTTACATACAGTATAAAAAGTAAAGGACCTCGGACAGAACCTTGAGGTTCTCCACTAAGTACTGGTATCCAGGTGGACTTCGAATTTTCTCTTACTATCTGTCTACGACATTCTAGGAAACCCCTGAGCCATTTCGCGAGAGATCCGGTAACACCTAGATTTTCCAGTTTCAAGAGCAGTCTATTTGTTGGCTTCTTGTCAAACGCTTCGCTGAAGTATATGTAGACAAAATCCACTGATTTTCTATTGTCCAGAGCCTCTATTCGTTGCTCCCTTGCTATGAGGAGTTTTGTTATGCAAGATAAACTTTTCCTAAACCATGTTGTTCAATGTTTAGCAAGTTTTTGGTTTCCATGAAAGTCATTATGGTGTTTTTGACTATTCGTTTTAGTATTCTAACTACGACACTAGTATAAAGTGCTAAGAGCCCTAGGTACATCGTCTCGATCAAAGTTCATGGTGAGCAGATGGTTTGTTGACTTTGTATTTGGCTCTATATCTTCGTCTAGAAGAGGCTCCTGAGCGAAAACTGACTCAAAATAGTTAACCATAGCCTCTGCTTTTTCCTGATCATCCTCTATAATTTCAGATCCACTCTTTTCCTTAATTCGGTTGGGAATTAAATCTGCATTCTTGTTCTATAATTTATCTACGAGAATGTTCTCTTAGGTTACTTGAGTGCAGATTGTGCCAACTGCATTTCATATATTCTCTGAGCTACCCGGGTTTTAGTTATACACATATTTCTTACCGGCTCGTAGCGTTTCATAGTACTTGCTGTGTCAAGACTGATGGCAACGTTCCAACATTTTTTCTTTTTTCTTGGTAAACGTCGACTGTCCCCGCCAATCCAGGGATGGCCGTGCTTCTTCTTTGGGACTGTCCAGCGTATAAAGGGTTGAGTTACTTGATTGTATAACTACCTGAAATGAGTCCATGCCTCTTTTGCTGATGCCCCTAAGTCAATTATCCAGTCTTCAGGCGACGCTGTAGAGTTGATCGCGTTTGTGTCTGCCACCCATATGTTAGGACGAGCCGGCACAACTGCTTGACAGGCCATCTCAGATATGAACTTAAATAAAATGAGTGCATGATCGCTTCTCTCTGGAGGTGGTAGGAAAGTCATTTAACGGACATCAGCGTGTGAAGACTAAGTTCAAGAAAGACGAGGATCTTCTTACGTCATATGTGATGGGATCTCTAATGTGCTGTAATAAAGCTGGTGCAATTAAGGTTTTTAACAGTTTGCAATCGAATGACGTTGTCTGTAAAATCCAATTTGAATGTTTTGTGTATGAAAATCCCTCCATGTATACACTTGTAGTTTGTTCTTATTGACTCCTTTAGTTGTAAATTTTGTTAGTCTTTTGATTCCATTTGAGTTGGTAATATTTGTATTTCATTACAGTTTTTATTTTTCTTACGCCTTTGCTAAATTTCCATGTTTTTCCTTAACTGCATTTATGTTGTTTTACTCGGTACTCAGTCTTGTCGGCAGCCATATTGGTTTGTTCCCACTTTTGATTGTGTTGCCTGTATTGACTGGGGCACTCTTCCAGAATTGGGAACACTGTGTTATCTGGCAACCAAATATAATATTTTGAACAAATCTGTGCGTCGTCTATCCAGAGAGAATAGAACAGCATTTATTTGTTGGTAATTTCCTCTCATCCTCAATCAACTTCCTTATTTACTGTAAATTAGATTTGACTAATTGAACAATTATTGGTTGGATAGCCAGGTGGCCATATTTGTTTAAGTAATAACGTACATTTAAATTTATAATGAATTTCAGAACTGTCATTTTATCCAACCACTTTGTTCTGGTTTCAACCAAACAAGGACGCGCATCTTACCCACCTAGACAGTTATTTTTCGGTCCAACCCTTAGTTTGAATCTAAGATTGTCGACGATCCTACTTTTAAGTTTTCTGAGTTTATATGTGGTGCATAAAAGTCGCCTACTATAAGGCTTTTAGCCCTTTTACACTAGGACTTAAGTTTGCTTAGGAGGAAGTAATCTACAACACAATGTGGACTGCGATCAAC